TTACATTTACATATAAAAATTTATTAAGGTAATTTCATACAAAATCCGTTACTTGCAAAGAAACATTGGAATTTAACAATAATACCTACTGTAACAAGTTGTGGGGAAAAATAAAGTGTAATGAGAATGATGACTAAGTAGTTATCAGGAAATGGGAAACTATTTCTACAGTTTTTTTATTTTCTGTCAAATTTTTGATATTTATTTTTCTCTTAGCTTTTTTTGAGCTTGGATCTTGCTTTGATCCATGTTGGCATCAAAAGAGCCGTCTTCTTAGCTCAATATGCCAAGTGTCAGGGTTACAAGTGTATACTAATATTTCAGGTTAATATTCCATTTCTTTAAAATATAGCAAAACACACACTAAAAGAAAAACAACAGACAAATAAGTAACTTTTAAACAATCTTATCTCTTGAAGTGCTCCCACATTTTTTCTATACCTGGTTCATTTATTCACTGTACACTTTACACACTTTATCACGGTTTGGGAACTGCACATTGATTACTTAATCTATATTTAAAATGTTCTACATTTATTTCTCTGAAAATTAGCACTTAACCTGATTATAAAATGTCTTTGGAGGCTCTGCTACATATTGAATCCAAAACCCTAGCTTTGTATTACAGTCCCATTTTTAAGGGTGATTAGCATTTCTGTACTCTATCATATCTTTCTTGATAAGTGACTTTCAAGCAAGCAGAAGATCCTGTAAAAGGGATTTCAATTATTTTTAAGATAGCTACCCTAGAATCACATTAGTACTCAGCTATAACTCCAGTGCCAAGATATGCTGTAATATTTTACCTATATGAAATTTTCATTATCTTCATTTTGAGAATTCTGAATTTTGTAATAGTGAGAATCTTCAACAGTACAGTCTTTTTTCAAATGTGTTCCCACAACATTGTAGAGATTGGATCTAGTTATTATAATTAATTTCAAAATCTAAAAATTTCCAAAACCATCGTTAATTTAACCTTTAATGTAGACTTATATAAATGTGTGAGCATGCTCTCCCCCCCTCTCTCTCTCTCTCTCTCTCTCTCTCTCTCTATATATATATATATATATATATATGCAATTTCAATGTATTTATTAATACAAAATTTTAAGTCACACATATGTATATTTCAGAAAATTTAAAAATGTATATATGCAAATTTGAAGGCCATTGAATTTGTATACATATGTGTGTTTATGACAAAAGTACTGAATTTTCAGGAATCCGAATTTTTTCTGTTCTGGATACCTACATACCAACTAACTTCTGAATGTCATCGCTTCAACAATTTCTAACATTTGGGCATATTTTTTGTTCTTTAGTAATACTAGAATCACCTAAAATCCTTGATCTTCCATGCAGTCATGACATTAGTATGGAAAACTGTTCTTTACTTGTTATCCATTGTATGATTTGATACTTCTAACCTTTATAAATGATTAAACAGACTGAAGTCAGATACTTGAAAATGCTCTTGTAGCCTTGTGAGTCTGTTTTCTATCAGTTACACAAATTATTCCTTTGAACATTCAGAAATTGTCTGAATTTAGTACATAAAACAAATATAACCAATCATTTTAAAATTTTTCATATTATTTCATAAAATCTTAACATTTTACAATGCTTTACACTTTGCAAAATGCATTCAGTTAATCTCATGTGCATCATAAATAAATAACATAGTCAATGAGTCTGTTTAAATAATAAATATATAAAAGTGTAAAGAATCACCCTTCTATGGCTCAGACAGGTGTGCTTATATTTAATTCCTGTAACAAATTTATTGACCTTGGATGACTAATATTAAAGAAGAAAATTCTGATAAAATATCACAAAAAATAATTCATATTCCAGGTCCTGAGTGAAAAATATATATATATATATATATATATATATATATATATATATTTCTCAAAGCATTCTTCCTTTGGCCACCAAGATTTTTTTTCCAAAGTAGATTGTATTTTTAAATGCATACTTGAATTCAGCAAGAGGCATAATGTATAATCTTAGTCAGCTGACATTGTATTAATTACTTTTCAGTTGCATCACACTTGCCAGTGTTTCCAATCGCCCACATGTAAAGATACTCTGATGAGTGTCATTTTCTGGTAAAATGTAGCTTGTAGAAGTCAGCATTGCAATTTTAATGTGTGGGATTATGACACACATTGATTTCTGTTTGAATTTATACTGGGAATTTTTTTCTAATAGTTTTCAAATCACAGCATTAGATATCTTTAGTGTATTAATGTCTTATCACATTTCCTTGCAAAATCATCTAATTAAATTCTACATTCAAGGGCTCTAAATCCTTTTGCATGCATTATTGTATTCAAGGCATTGGTGTTTGAGTATCAATCTTGATCAATTGTATTTAGTTACTACACATGATTGTAGTGACTTTCCTTGCCAAAGTTTTATATATCATTGTATATATGAACATTATTTGTTATGAATAATTAAGAATGCCAATTTAAAATAAAAATAAATGTAGACTAACAGAGAGTACATGAACTCATGTATTAATTATCACATCTTTTACTTGCCTTCAGCTTTTTCTGACCTGAAAGAGTTAAGATGAAGATTTAGCCAACTATAATTAAGTTAGATTAAGTATAAATAAATTTGTAAAGGGTGATTAAACAAAGCAATTAGGGCAATTAAAACAGTGCATAGGTCAACAGATGTCAGGTTAAAATTGAAAATGTGATGATTAATATTTCTTGCTAGTACTAGAGAATTTAAAATGTTAAAACTCAATTATTTTCCTCATACCATGTGCTTACCAGCTCATTTTCATCTCCTTTCAGGGTAACATTTGTATAGCAATGTGAACACTGTGTTGGTGGTTCCTTTTCTGTTTGTGAGTCATGTGATAGATGTTACTCATTCCTATACAACTATCATTCCTATTAGTGAAGAGCAGTTGTCTATATCTGTTCATTGCTAAGGCAAGTATAGATGTATTGTCTATAGAGTTAAGGTAATTGAAAATGGTTATGAAGGGTTAATCATGCAAATTCTGTAGCCAGATGCAACTGCAGTCTTCAAAACTTTATAGAAAAGGAATAGGGAGCAAAGTCCATTGAGTAAATTACTGGAACACTGATTTTCACATGCCAATGTTTTACTTGCTTTTTTGATAGTTTCTGGCAATGGTTTATTGTCTGGGATATTGTTTATATTTTTATGATGATTTAAACTTATCCAAATATAATGAAGAAAAGGTACTTCGATGTATTTCCTCAATATACATAGTAATAAATGACCTCCAGTTAGATTTTTAAGAAATTAAAATGTTCAAACTAGTTATTACTTTACACATGATAAATTGCTGTTTCGTAGAATTGAAAAATATAATTTGTGGGATACTTACCCAGTTTTCTGAGCTAGACTTTGTTAAGACTCTGATTATCACAATAAATTATTTGTCCCTTTCCCTCACACTTAATTCCATGGGTGCATCTGTGTTTATGTAAATATTTCTTCTAGGATCATTATTTGATGTTATATTTATTCGTAATATAGCTATACTAATAAGTATGGCTTTATGAAATAGTTCAGGACATAGAAGTCAAGTATGGTTACATAAAACTTGAATTCAGGTAGACTAGAGATTGAAAAAAGAGGATTGCTATGATTATGAGGCAACCCTAGGTTATAGGATAGGACCCTTACAGCAAAATAAAAAGAAAAGCAACAGATCAGATTCACATAAAACCATACCAATGTAAGTGAATTTGCAGAATGAGATACATGTTGATTCTTGAGCTACTTCTGACTGCTTAAAGTACAATAACAAATTTAAGACAGTAAAAAATAAATATGTATTTAAATGAAAATGGAAAATCCCTAAATTTATATAATAATTCATCTCTTCAGTCAGCTGCTGTGAATTCTAGCACTGAAGCATTATGTCAGATATAGCATTATATTTTAGAACATAAAAGAAAGCTAAAATAATATGTAATAAAAAAATTACCTCATTAATGTTAAGTTTTGAATGTTGTAAAAATTCTGATATTAAGGATTTTTGTCCATCTAGTTTTAGCAATTTCAACAACTACCACAGAAACAAATAAATATGTGATAGATGCAAACAATTTCAAGCCAGTGGTTAAAGTAGAATCATTTTCTACTTTACTAGAATAGAATATTTTAATATTTAATAGAATATTTAATAGAATAAAGTAGTATTATTTTCTCAAGCTGTCATTATCAAAAGATGGGCAGAATTTAAGGGGTAAAATCCATTCATTTTCCAAGATGAGAAAATATGCATGAAAATGATAGCTTAGTTTTGAAAAATCAATTACACCATTATTTTGTGATATGTGTGAAAATCAGAAGTTTTTAGACCACTGTCCCCTGCAGTAACTATTTCATTTTCTCCCAGACATCAGGGGATTTGTAACAAATTATTTTTTCATTACTTTGCAGATCTAGCATCTATACAATTCTGAAATCACAACCTGATTTTATTTAACTAGGTAAGTATGAATTTTGTTTTAATTTGAAAAGGTTTCTTGTATGTCTAAGAGTATCAATATGACAATTTAATCTGTTATAAAATTTGATGTATATAACTGTGATTATAGCAAGAATTGTAGTAGCTATCTAGTCAAGGGACTATACATCTGTTTGCAGGTAATCAAATTTATTGAATTATCATAAGATGAAGATGAAGGCCTCTTTTATATACTGCATTTCTAATGATGGACTGCAAGTTACAAATTACTACATAGATTCTCTTCATTAAATCAACTTAATATTCTTTTTCTGAATTTTGCTTCTTAAAAGGTGGAAATTATAGGACAATTCATACACAGTGTCACCTCTATGTTTACTCAGAACCCAACAATGATTTAATTTTTAAAAAAGAAAGAAAATATAAATCTATTCTTACTTACCTATGTACACCATAAACTACTATTAATGCAGAAAAAATAAGTAGAAATATTGTTTTAAAAAGTCATCTTATTCTGAGACCTCCATCTTGATCTTAAACACATATGATTACTTGAAATTTCTCCTTTCCCTTTGACACATCTAAACCATGTGAGATATTACACATCATTCATTACTTGGGGACACAATGGGCTGAAAATGTATGGCATCATACTTTTAAAAATATATTTAAAAACTCAATCTTGCAATCAATGTGTTACACCAAAAGAAGCTGGGAAACAATCCTTGAAAAGTCTTTACAACATATAGAACTCATGATTTTGGAAAGTAATTCCTGCATCAAAGGAAAATCTTAACTCTCCCCGAAGTCTTACTTAAATGCAAATATTTTATTGCCATTTTGTACTCTCTAGTGGTTCAGAAGAAAAATGTGTACATCATTGGAGCTATGCTCCTGTTTGAGATGTGAGGGGAAATAAGGCTCAGTTGCTGTGCAGTTATTTCTCCATTTCCATGTTTCATCCCATTACTATAGTCCATGGTGCAGAAAAGCCAGAATGTCCTGATGAGCTTAATACCATGAGGCTATAAGATGAACCTGAATAGATTGGAGACTGGAGTTCCAAAATAAAAACCATACCATGTGTCAAATAAAAATATATTCTCCTGTACAAATCAGAAGAGATAAAAATTAATGAATAGACAGCAACTGTGTTTTACATCATACCTAAGCCAGTATTTCAAAACTACTTGAAACTTGGAGAATTATTTACCTTTTCCTTATTGTGAACACTTCCTAAAATTATTGGCAAAACAATGATTTATGTTGCCTTAAATTAAGCTTTATTGGTTTTTATTGAAAGTTTCACTTAGGGAAGATATCATGATTTGTATATCTCTAAATAAAATAAAATATTTCTGTGCACCAACAGCAATAAAATTATGTTGAATTCTGTCATATAACAAGCCTAAAAGCTTCAGTAGAAATAAAATTCTTCCAAGTTTTTAAAGGCAAAAATCTGGGATTTTTCAAGGGCACACCATGCTCTATTCTTCTCAGAGAGGGTACCATGAATGTTTGTGCAGGGTATCCTTGACTCACTGACAACACAGGACATGACTTTATCAGACAGGTAAGGTGCCTTTGCAAATATATGAGAGTTGCTATCTATTCACAAACCACTAGGTATTTATTTTTATCAAAATAAATAAATAAATAAATAAATAAATAAATAAATAAACTTCAAATGCTCAGACTCTGTGGTCAGTGAAATCCATTGGACAATCTAGTGAATGTTTTACGAAGCCAGAAACCATGAGTTAAAAATGGAGATATATTTACAATCTTTTGTCCACAAGTAAAGTTCTTGTTTACTGTATGTAATACTTCCCCCTTCTTCTTCTCTTTTAAAATTGTTTCATTTTTCTTTTTTTTTTTCTTTTCTTTTTTCTTTTTTTTGCTGCTGCCTTTTTATTCAGTACATTTCAAATTAACTGTCCAAGGCTATGAGTACAAGGTCTCCTGGCCATTTCCATACATGTCAGCCAGTCTTTTAAAGCGGGGACCCCAGTCACTTAGGTAATCATAATTCTGATCAGAGTTTGAGCTGATGGAATCTAAAGAACTAAGAGATTCAGCAACTGAGCCATTTCCTTCAAATGCATAGGTCTGCAGCGAGTCATACGGTGGAGCCCCTGGATCCACATCAGCTTCTTTCAGTCTTTCCCAAATAAATTCCCTAAAAATGACATTATCTGGGATGCTTTTAAAAGTCGGTCGACTCAAGAACTGAATTTCAGGAGTCACATCTCTGCGGGTTTTGTTGTCTCGTATGACGTTGAGGTTTCTAAGTGCAGCCATGTCAAAGGCTTCAGTATCTTCTTCTCCCCCGCCTTCGTCATCGTATCTGACTATATTTTCTCTAATGTCCCTCTCCTCGTCAAAAATAAGAGGTTCTTTTTTTCGTCTTCTCATAGTGACGATGAGGAGGATCAGCACTGAAATGTGAATGGCAAAGAGAAATGTAAGCAAGCAGAGGAATGCAATCAATGTGGCTCACATTCTATCCCCTAGTAGAGAAACCAGTTGGCTTCCCGGTGTCACTGAAATTCAGTCAGCGGATGTGCTAAAACTGCAAGCGATGGCTGTAAAATGAAATGCTTTCATACACCAAAAAGTCTTTTTTTCAAACCTTTTTATGATTGATGTCTGCTCTAACCTCCAAAATATTTGATAGAACAAATTGAAGGGCCAGTTCAGAATAAATAGAATACTTTCAAAGCCTGGCAACACAAAGGGAGCCTTTGAACTGCTTAATTGCTGAAAAGGAAAAAATGTCATTTATAAATGTTTTGTATCTAATTTAGCAAGTGCAATGCCACACGGAAATGGATAAGAGAATTTGATCAGGTTCTTTGAAGAAATGTCTGGTCCTTGTTATGAAATTCAGCTGTTTAATGATATCCAGGTTGCCATGCCATGTAGCAAGATTAAAAGCTTCTATAATAAAGTACGTCCCACTTTCAAGTGTGAAATATTGACCCTGGACTCTTAATAAAACCCAAAGACAGAAAGCAGGCTGTGAGGCTTTCAATAATGGCCAAAGATTTAAGAAACACTTATTTAACATTAGGGATTTCTCTCCATCATAAAAATACATAGTAAATGTTGAAATGTACAGTTTCTCTGGAAAGCAAAAGAGAGAAACACAATAGTCCTGAGTATAACACAGATTAATGGCATTCTGCATTGTTAACACAAACAATCTTACTGAGACTTCACTAGCTACAGTGGCCCCAAGGCTGAGAACAAGGTTACCTCTCTTGGCTTTAAGATTTGTACTTACATGGGATAAAAAAAAGTATGTTTTAGAAGTTTGTGATTCTAAATGTATTTAAAAGAACATAAAAGTATAAATGATCTTTTTATGAAAAATATTTATTTTTATTTTGTGTATACGGATATTTTACCTGAATGTATACCTGTATACCTTGTATATGCCTATTGTTAGTGAGGGCATTAAATTTCCCGGGAAGTGGAGTTACAGAGTGCTGTGAATGAGCATGTGTTTAATTGAAATCAAGCCCATGTCCTCTGGAAGCCAACTAGTTCTTTTAACCACTGAGCCATGTCTCCAGCTAAAAAAGAATGAATTATCTTCATCTGCTAAATACCAAAATGTGTTTTATTCATTTTTATTGAATTTTTCCAGAAGTTTTAGAAGACTCAAAAATATACACATCATTATATTACTGTTTGGGTTATGTTATTCTCAGCCTATTTTTAAGTGTGTAAGTGGGTAGGTTAGAGAGGGAGGGAGGGAGAGGAGGGAGGGGAGAAAGAGGGAGAGAGAGAGAGAGAGAGAGAGAGAGAGAGAGAGAGAGAGAGAATGCAACACTGCATCCACAAGTCAGAAAACTGTGTCAGCTCTACAACCTCACATCTTCCTTATTTGAAATATATTTCATTTGTTTACTCCTGAGTAATAACAACTACCTGGCCCACAAGCATCTGCGGACTTTTTTTCTTTGCCTTCCACATCACTATAGGAGTGCTCAGAATATAAACCTGTGCTACTGGATCAGCTTTTATGTGTTTCTTCGGATTCACACTCAGGTCCTCAGGTAGTACAGAACCTTGTTTCCCTCTGAGGTATCCCCAGCACTCAGCATATTTTTATAAAAGTAGGTTAATGGGCAAGTGGTTGTAGCACAATGACAGATACTTGTCCACCATGTCTAACAAAACATGAAAACAAATAACTGGCTTAGACTAAATATAAAGTATCTTTGCTGTTAAGAATGTCTAAAGGAAAATAGAAGAGATTTCATGAGTGGACTGAGACCTGGGGAGGATGGGAACATGATTGATCAGGTTGAAGGGACAGGATAGAGAGAGTAGAGCTGGGAAATAGGTCAATGTGAAAAACATAAGCATGAGGACCTGAGTTAAAAATCACTAACAGCTGTGTAAAAAGGATAGCTATGGCAGCATGTCTGTGAGAGACAGAGATAAGCAGAACCCAGAATCTCACTGAAAAAAAATGAGTAATTGAAGAAGAAATCTCCATGTCATCCTCTGGCTTCCACATGCATCTACATAAGTGAGTACATATGTATACACATTCAAATATACTACATCCATACTGATATAACCTCAATTAAGGAAAGTGTCACTCCTAAATCATTCATGACTGATACTACCAATCTATTCAAGAATATTTTTGGTCTAGATATCTGAGACTTGAAGGAAGAACTCATTTCTCCCATTACATAGGAAAATATCATTAACTGTTTTCTAAAAGCCTGAGTTCACACCCAAATATAAACATAGCTCACAACGCATGACCAAAGCTTATTTTTTCAACCAATGAAAACCATTTGATATGATAGGGAAATTTCCACAGGGTCCTACCCAAGATCAAGAACTATTGAGGGAAGTGACTACTGTTAGAAGGAGAATCATTTGGCCCCAGAAATGAAATCACACATAGGGTGTCCAATTCCAAGTGTTCATCCCTGAACACATGGACATAGGAATAAAGCCTAAGGGACTCAGTAGGCCTTATATGCATGCGTACATATGCATATAACAATAATAAAAATGATATAAATTTGGGGAGAAGAGGCAGAGGTTGGAGGGAAGAAAGGAAGCCCTAGGGTGCTCTTTTAAGAAATTTTCAAAAATAAAGCTATTATAAAACAAACCCAATTATTTGAAATGTATAGATAATGTTCGGTACAGCAGCTTTTCTTGAACTCCTCAGAATGAAAGCAGTGACAAAAACAACTAACAGCCTAATGAGAATTGGTACGGAGGAAAAAAGAGGATAATGTACCTATTGAGGGGTGAATATGAAAGAAAATAGTGTGGTGATAGGGCAGGTGCACAGGTAGTAGCAAGTGGATATGTCATATTGAGAGCCAATGACAATAAGAGTTGCCACGAATACATGAGCTTAAGTGTACAAAAATGAAGAAAGGAAGACCTATGATACAATTAGACTTCTTTAAATTTAAATCAATGCCAAAGGGAACAAAGTATTTCAAATTTATCAATATTTTATACAATTGATAACATATTTTATACAAATGAATCATATTTTTACATTTACCAAAAAAGTAGCTCTAATATCATTCTGAGATGCATTTCATTCTACCTTTAAACTTGCTGTCCACTATTGCCATATCTCAATTCCTCCACAGAACAACTCTGTCATCCCAAACTGGGGGGAAAGACTAACTGGAAATACTTTAGTGAAATTCTTCTAACAAATTTCATCATACTCACCTATATCCAACCACAACTGTTTTTCCTTTATCATAAAATGTAGCTCAATCTATGTCTTCTATTTGAGATTGTTATTGTTCTTAAATAGAGAAACATCAGGCTTTTCTGTTACATTTCAGAAACCAAGGAGATCAGCAAGTGGATTTCTTGCTTTCTAAAACTACTCTAGGACTTTTACCCTATTTTTATACATGGTGCATTTGTTCTATGAAACTATATAGCCACATATTTCAACCACTAGAAACTTAGTATGGGTCAACTATCTATACTATTGAAAGGATGTGATGGGGCTCTCCATAGCAAGTTTAAAAGGGAGTAAAAGCAGGGGAGTAGAGAAAGACAGGATGAATTGGAAAGGCTAAATGCTATTGTTTAAGTTTCTCCCCTCCAAACATCACTTGCTTTGTTGCTGCTCTTAAGAAACAAGAGGACTGTCCCTTAAATTCTTTTATTGGTTTCTTTCCTCATTCCCCATCAATTTTCATTGGTGAGTCGAATATGCTCATGCTTTTACCAACCTTTACAAACAGAAAACCCTTGTATCCCTCATATCTAAATATCCTTCTAGTTTTTCTGGATGAACAGACCCTGTTCTAAAATAATTTCTGACAAGTTCATTGAAATGACAACATATTCACAAAGCAGATCATAATAAAGTACCCAGGAATATAATAGTCTATTTTTATTATTTTATTACTGCCACTCTTTCTACCAACACTCTTTGAATTCATGTTACTTTCATTCACAGCACTTAAGAACAGTGGATTTAATGTCACTACATTTCATGTAATTTGTTTCATATCCTACGAATTTTCTCAAATAGGAAAATACTTGTACCAGAAATGTCCAGTTCATCTTTGATTCAACTGTCAATTTCCTCTTGTCTTCATCTAACGTATATATTTGACTTTAACAAACCATATGCTGTGAGTGCAATGGAGAGATTTGAGACTCATTTACATTAATTTACTAGATGGGTAGTTCTAAGCATAGTTTGCTTCCATCAATCTCAATTTTCTCACATATAAAATATTGATAATATTAGTGTTTTGTCATGTAACCTCTATTTCATAGTAATTTTGTGAAGATTGAGTGAATTTGTTTCTATGAAGTCACATGCAGTAAATATTTTCTGGTATTATTAAATACTAGTACATATTTGATTAATGCACACCATCAAACTTTATGCAGCTAAGTTCCTCATTCTTCAAACATGGAAGCTAGTATACAAAAATAATTATAGATCCTATTTTGTTCCATATGATTAAAATGATCAGAATGATCACCAAAAATATTGTTAAGGAAGCTGATATTAATCATTGTGTTTTCTGAATGAAGAACACTGAATACTGGGTCTTTTTTCGAGTGTGTTAATTGTATAGTAAACCTTATAAAATACAAATAGTTAAACCACATTTAATGAGTCATTAAAACACTTTGTCTCCTATGTGCTTTATTGTATATTTTAATAACACATAAGATAAAAGGGTGTGTGATTGAGAGTTAAACATGAGTAATAGAAAGAAGGAGAATAGGGAATGGAGAATAAGAATGGAAACCTCATTACTCTCAAGGGGTATTTTTGTTTCAGCAAATTATATATAAATATAACTTACTCATGGCAGCTGTTTTCTAAGTAAAAAGACGATAGAAAGGTTTAGTGAATGCTAACAAAATAACAAGTAGGTATTCTGATATTGAGGAAAGT